AGCTTGCTCTAAATCCTCAGATACTCAGGATTCCTGCAAGTTTCAGCTGTCATGGTCTGAAGTCTTACACTCTTGATCACTAACCATCCTGAAGGCTGGTGTTCCTCAAACCATTTTGCAGATGCAGACAGACCCATGAGCCTGGAGCCACTGCTCCAGGTTATGTGTCAGCTGATGTTAGGGCTGCCTGGCCCCATTCTAAGTGCTCCCATCCTCTCCTGGTAGCCTTGCAGAGGGGTGGATGTGGGCAAAGCAGTTGTTTGGCATCCCAGCATGTGAGGAGCCCAGGGCATCTGTGAGTGTGGTCTGTGTCAGTCCGGGGATCTTTCCAGGGCCAAGAAGAGAAGCCACATTAGAGAGGAGAAGCCACCACTGGGGCTCCCTCACCACGCAGCACGTGCTGTGTTGAGGTGCTACTCTCATCATTGCTGGGAGAGCCATTACTCCCGGCCATTGGCAGAAACCCACTGGCAGTCAGTCCCAGCAGCATCACACCAAGGCACTAGTGTTAAAAGGTATCGAAGAATGAAAAGGGGCATGTTTCAGGGTCAATTTCCTTGCTGTAGTTCATTTCAGTGCCTTTAATATGCTACTGTCCACTTTAAATCTCTAAGAGGGGAATTTAGAATCTGTCAATCACCCCTATATTGTATTGTATTTTTTGCAAAGCTGGACTATTTCTGTGAAACATCCTTTGACATATGGTGGCATCAGGCCATCTCTTTTTTTCTCCCCTTCCTTAAAAAACAAACAAAAACACAAAACTGGTCCTGGAATTCTAGTTCTCAATTTCCCCTACTCCTCAGACAGCAGCAATGGTGCAAACTACAGTGAAGTATTGATCTTAATTGAGACTGGACTTCTTTGTATCATGATAGAAACAGCCACAGGTTATCAAGGGCATTTTCTAATATGCTAACAGTTCTTCTTGACAAGAGCAGGTCCCCAAGCAAGAGATATGATGAGAAAAGATAGCCCATGCCCATCGAAGTTCTAAAGGCATAAACACAAACACACATACACATGTGAGGGCAAAAATACTCCCTAACGAAGCGGCATATCTTAAAAATTTATGGAAAATTTTACACTGAAATCAACATTTTTGTTTTCTAAAACTTAGGAAAACTTTTTGTTTTAGTTTGTTTTGAACTTGGGATAGAGCAAAGGATCTAAGCAGTGTGTCAGGCCTTCCAAACTTTAGTTGCTGGAGCTGGGTGTTCAGTTTTCAGTTATGTGTGCCAGAATTTGGAATCATCAAATGCTAAAGGCTTGGGGGAACATTCCAGTTTAGATTAACTACCTGCCAGGCATTCTCTGAAATTTCCAGCTTGGGTTTGCGTGATGGATGAACTAACCTTTGGAGAGCTGTTTTGAAAGATGGGAGTGGAATTCTGAAGCCTGATGTTATGGATGCAATGCTCTGTAAGCTCCCAGAAACAACCCCTCCATATCTGGGAGGTGGGAACGATGAAATTAAAGTTCTTGCTTAGGAGATGTTTTGGTTGTAAGCAACAGAAAGCAACTCTAGTGGAAAGCCATGCTTGCACTGGTGGGCTCTGGGCAGCTTATAAGACTGAAGGGAAAGCTGAGCGACCCTCTCAGGCAGGTAGTAAACGGGGTCCCTGGACAAACCTGGACACAGGGCCTTATGTTTGTCTTCTCTAAGAGGCTGCCATTAAGTTAGCTTAGCTCTGTTTCAGCTTCGAGGACTGAGACCAAGATCAGGTCACCTAGGCCAGGTGTCTCTCTTTTGACCAGTTGACCTGAGTGGGAGGGTAGGTGTGGGCTGCCCTTCACTGGCCCTGGGACATTGCCCCTGTGTGTGAGGATGTCTCCCAGTAAAGGAAGAGCCTTCCCAAGTGGGGTCAACTCCAGATGTAAACAGGAAGCAGATAACTGCAGAGGTGACCCGTTGACAGTGAGGTGGAAAGAATGGAACAAGTCCTCAGTGATACAGTAAAGGGAGGTGAGGGGATGTGGAGATGAAGGAAGGACAGTGTCTTGAAGATCGTGGAGTTGGGGAAAAGAACATGCCAAAACTCTCCGGGAGCTGGAGGAGGCCCAGACAACAAGTGCACGGCTTTAGTTAGAAAGCTCTTCAGAAGGCAATTCATTCGGGCTACAGAGGTGGAGAGAAGAGCCAGAATTTCTGCTCCAATTCAAACCCACCAAGCAGCCATGAGATCCCTAAGGGAGACTGCAAACAGCCTGCTCTACACTTTGTTTCACCACTGTGTAGTTTTTGTTTTTTTCATTAGCCACGTTAGGTGCTGTCACAGATGCAGCTCATCGTCAATCCAACAACTATTCTTCAACCCTTTCCCAAGCAGGTAGAATCCACCTCCTACAAAGAGCCTGCAAATTCTGGATACTCACTCTTCTAAGCCTCTTTTACTTCCAGGGGTGGCCAAATAATATTAATTTAGGCAATGAAAGTAAAGGAAATTTTTATTAGGTGGGAAACATTTTCTTCTCTAATAAAGGGAGATCCTTAAAAATAGAATTTATCTGTCACATGACTGAAAACGCTTCTTCCTGCCTTTGAGCACAATTGGATGAGGATGTGATGTTGGGGGTGCTGCAGTCACCTTGTGATGTGAGGAGAGCTTATGGAAAATGGTAGAGCAAGAGGATGGAAAGGGCTAGGGGTCCTTGGACCATTTACTTTTCAGTTTCCTGTTATTTTTAATATTAATAAGTCTCTATTAATTAAGCTTAATTAATGGGGTGTTTCCTTAATTGTATCCTAAAGCATCCCAATGTAACTTGTTGCAGAATCAAGCAATTCTACATAAAACTGTAGCTTCTTCACTTCTCTTGAAACTCAGAAGGTCTGGCAACACTGGGCTTTCTCCCTACCTGGTGACAGCAACATGGTGCTAAGAGGGGTCACTGTACCTCCCTGGGCACATGCCTGCTCTGTAGTTTTCCACAGTCTCCACTCGTCCCTAAAGGCCCTGACCTGCCTCTTCACTGATCTCCTTTCCTGGCCCCTGGAAGTACCTGTCCTTGTCACTGCTAATCTCCACAGTGGACTCTCAGCAGGTTTACTCAGCAAAGGAAGAAAAGTCTTACAGCTCCCAGGGTGCACTCTGGCTGTCCACACCATGTGCCTTGAATTCATAACTCTGCCCACATCCACAAAGGACCAGGGCCTGAGGAACAAATGTCCTCATTCATGGCCATTTTACTGGTTCATTGTATTTTCACATTTACTTCACCCTAATAGTGCATGAAATTAAAACATATGGATCCACAAAAACACCTGCCTTTCTGAACCGGCTTCCACTGTTATCCTGGTGCCTGAGGATCCTTCCACACGTTATTATGTCTTGTCATTTTAATTACATTTTAATCAAAGCTTTTACATGGCCTATGTTAGGACTTTTAATGTCATTATGAGCATTAACAATATCCTGTTACTTTGCAGGGTCCTTCCCGTAAATGGAAGTATTTATATGAAATGTATATTTATGGTCCAGAATGTTCAGTCATCTTTAACTGAAGTATAAACCTTTCTCTTTCCTCTGGCATGCCACTGCAGAATCAAGTAAGCATATGAGTTACGTCTTTTTTTTTTTTTAAACAGTAGCCTTGGATCCTTTTCTTGCATTTCTACTTTTGGTTTTATTTTTCAAAATTATAGAATGTTTAGTTAAATCTGAATATTGTTTGATTTTTCTAATATTCCATGAATTTTAGCTCTGGATTTAAAGTTATGTTTTATGAATTGCTATGATTTAGCTTCTCAAGCATCTGACATTCATTCTTAAAGTTGCCTGCCAGTATAAACTGCCATAATTTTTAGAAATCAATGGTTTGACTTTAGGTGGAAATCAATTTAAGCTTTGCCTTCTCCTACAAGCACATGGCTCTGTGCCAAAGCCAGCTCAGAAGGACCACAGGTGGAGACGGCTGCACTGGGACCCACTGAACATGATCCCTAGAAGGTACTCTAAGGTTAAGCTCCTAGCAGAAATGGCTGATCAAAGACGTCGGGATGCTTCTCACTGGACACCCAGCCCAGAGTTGCTCAGCTGACAATTTATACGGCCACCTGAGTCTTCCAAAATGCAGTCTGTTATGCTAACTGCTGGAAAGTGACACTCTTTGAACACCAAATTTGCATTACCTTGCAGCATCCATGCCCAGGCACCTGCAGAACCACGTGGTACCACCTGTCAGCATTGGATAAGGGGAATGTTTACTGCTTTGGAAAAAACCAAGCTGGCCAAGGAGCCACATGCTACATACTCAGACTGGAAGGTTCACCGGGACTGACTCCATTCAACAGGGCAAAGAGCTGAGCAGAGACGGTGCATTTCTGACTCTGTTCTCATGCTTTCTCCTAGAGCCTCATCACATAAAAAAAGTTCCTACTAACTGGGAACAGGGATACATCGCCACTCCAGGAACTCTTAGAGCAGAGCTCTGCAAAACTCAGATCCTACAGGGGAACATCTTACCCTGAAGCTACTTCTCAGCTCTAGTGGCCACCCTGCCTGTGCCTTGAGAAAGACTCAAGGCCTGGATTTCCTGATCTGTATGAGTAGTCATACCACATCCTGCAGGGGAGCAGGTAAGACCCTCCTCCCCCCAAATTCCCTGCAACAGGTTGAGCTACCAGAGTGGCCCATAAACCTAGACCACAAGGTTGGAAGGATACTGTGCCCAGAGCCCTCAGGCAACAGCAGTGACCACCCCCCACCTGCCTGCAGGACAGTCAAGCATCTTTCTGTGCCCTGTACCATGGGGAGGTCTGTGGAGTGATTCATCTCGTTTGCTTGACTCAATGATTCAGAAAGCCCTGGAGATGCTAAGGCTGTAGGGCTGAGTTTCAAATCCATTTCAGAGACGCACGCTATGAGCAGCTGATGGCTCAGAAAGCTTCTCAGCCTTTCTTCCAAGCTCAGTGCCTGGAATGACCTATGGACAGAGCCGGCTTTGGGCCTGAGCTGTGAAACCCACTGCATCTCTGAATGACATTTGTTGCACTCGGCGGCCAACACCAAGCCTTCCAGGGGGGAGGTTTTATTATGTTTTACAACCATGAAAACACGGGAAGGCGGCTACACAGCAATTGTTTCAGATAGAGGAACCTGCCGAGCTGCCCACCCCACCCCTGCAGCCTCCGTCCACACGGCTCTCGGAGAATGTTCCTGGTGTCCTTCCCTTGCAAATGCAAGAATGGTGAAAGAAAGACATCAAAAGCAGCAGGAATACCGCCAGCAAGATGGAAGCAGGAGGAGGGTAACTTGGACAAACAACTGATGAGAAACACACGAGGGAGAACCTTTTCTATTGTGTTATGACATCAGGGTGGAAGAGCGTGCCCGGGGCTCAGCGGCCGTCCTCCCAGGACACTAGTCATACAGGGCCCTCGCTGATCCCCTCCAGAGGCAAGCTGGGCGCGCTGTCGGCCGTGGGCCTCTCCTCTTTCTTCAACGAGGTTGGGACTCGGAGACTGACGTACGGTTTATGGCAAGCTGTGTTGGCCAGAGGCGGGTAGTGCTGTCTGTAGCAGATGTAGGCAAAAATGAGGCCGATGATGCCACCGACAAAGGAATCTAGGCGGGAAGAGCAGAACAGGAGACACGGGTAAGTTACGACTCCTTCCAACGGGGCCAGTCATGTTTCCCAGAATGCACTTTTCCCACCTGCTCAAGTAACTTATTTGCATATATATCCAGAAAACTCCCCAAAAGACTAAAAACAGAGAAACAGCAGTGGAGATATAAATCCTGGTGGCTACTTCAAACTGTCATCATCTGTAGCATTTAAATGTTTAAAAAATAAGCACTTGAGTCTCTTCTGTTATTCCTTTAGCTGATGTCTGAGCATTGCATGGATTCAGATTTGTATTCCCGATTTTTAAAACCAATTCTAAGTTCTAGAGGAATTCAAATGGATTTGAATATCCTCAGGGGCTATAATTTCTCTAGCAAATTCCGTCTGGACTCCTGTAATATCGCTGGTGTGCCACAGAAACCCAGTGGGCATGCTGGTCTCTGCCTCGCAGTAAAGTGGTTTCTCAGGGATGAAATAATCCTTCTGGGTCACAAAGGGAACCAAACGTCTATGACATGCCAGTGTTGGCAAACTGAGCAGACCTCTGGCAGGAGAGCCCTATCTCTCCAATGAGATACAGCTCTCACCAATCGGGGTGCAAGCAGAGGGTGGAGGAGGCAGGAGGGTGCGTCTGCAGGCCTGCCGCCCAGGGGCAATGCTTGCTAAGGAGCACACTCAGCTGGCGCCCACAGAGACCCCATGTAAACAGTCCACCCCAACAGCCCTCAGTATGCGATGCACACTTTACAATGTATCTATGAATTTCTTTCTTTTTTTTTTTTTGATACAGAATCTCACTCTGTCACCCTAGGTTGAATGTTATGACATCACAGCTCACAACAACCTCAAACTCTGGGGCTCAAGAGATCCTCCTGCTTCAGCCTCCTGAGTACCTGGGACTACAGGCATCTACCACAACACCTAGTTTTTCTATTTTTAATAAAGATGGGGTCTCACTTTTGCTCAGGTTAGTCTCTTATTCTTTAGCTCAAGCAGTCCACCCACTTCGGCCTCTCAGAGTGCTAAGATTACAGGTGTGAGCCACTGTGCCCTACCCTATGGATTATTCTTGCCAAAAAGATCCTAGTGCAATGCAGATGCTCCTCTAACAGAGAGATCTGGCCCTCCTGTTAGGGCTGCCACGTGCTGAACTGCCATTCTTTGTTGGGTGTTTCCATCTTCACATACTGTCTGGTTGAATTTTTCCAGAAAACTGGAATTGAACCCTGGTGTCCTGATCCTGTAGTTGAGCTGGTCCACAGTGCCGGCTCGTTCCAGGCTTTCTAACCAAGTGATTCTCTGAGGTTCCAGCCTTCAGGTACAGCAGGCCCCTGGGCTGAATGAAGGGGGTGCCCACCTGGGTGCAGGTGAGGGACAAGGGTTTTCATTAATGATCAGTGCTCAGGGCAGCAAGTCTCCCAGGAAGCCACACCCTGTGTGGACGCTTCGGTTGAATCACAGGCCAATTCCCCTGTGTCTCCTGTAGGTGAAATTCTAAGTGGCTGTCAAGGAAATGGATCTTTCAAGAAAACAATCTGCTCGGTGTTTAGCCAGGCACATCATACTTGTCATCACTTTGTGATTCTTGGTATCCAGGCTCTATCTAGATGTATCAGAAGAATTTTTGAGGATGGGAAACAATATTTTTATATTTCAGTATCTTTCGTGAAATTGCTTCTACTCTCTGTATCTCTAGTAGCCCAGTAGTAAAACATACACAAGTTCTATAATAAATAGCTTTTTGTTTTCTTAAACAACTGTAGTCATTTCGTGCCTGTAATGTTATTGATCTATAATAGCAAAATTGGCAAAGAAGTATAATAAAAGAAAAGCTCCTTTATTTTGGACATTTCTGTGATGGCGGCGTGAACGTGAGTGGGTGCAGACTCTGCCCAGTGGAATGTGGGCACGGCAGCTAGTGACGTTCTTTCAACTGCAAATAGCTGAGGCCACTGTCCTGCTTGGTTGAATCCTTCCCACTGCGCTTCGAGAACAACTGAGCCCCTGTGTCACTCAAGGCTGTATCCCTGGCCTTTGCCATCTGTCCCCGCCACCCCTCCCTCCTCACTCGACCAAAGCCACAGTCCTTCTTTCTGTACCCAAACACAGCTGCTTCTTCCCCTTTCAGAGGTCCCCATGCACTGTTCCCACCCTGCATTCCTGGGAGCCCCTTCTCCTCAACTCTTTCCCAGTAAATTTCTATCCTATTTCAGAGCTCAAATGAACGTGACCGTGCAGTGAAGCCTCACTTGGCCTCCAGACCAGACCAAATCTCCCAGCTGCACACTCGGATAGGCCCTCCCACCCCCTGTGCAATCAGAGTGGCAAATAATGACAAACTGTACAACTGGTTAATGTTTAATGCTGGTCTCAAGACCCTATGAGGGTTAGCTGTTGACTCCCTAAACACCTCGACCAGTGCCTTGCTCACAGCAGAATTAAGCCCGTTAATGAAAATGGACACACAGGACCTCAGGACTAGATTTGGCTACCATTCTGTGTCTTTGGGGAGCTGTCCCTGGTCTTCTCTGTTGCCCCATCAATAACACAAGAGCATTCAACACATGCATGGTGGCTGAGAAGTCTTCCGGCGTGAGTGTTCTGGGGATTTGATTCCCTGGGTTGCCCTACTGAGCCCATGTGTTGAGAATATTTAGAAGCTCTGCCAACCCACATCTCAAAAATAGATCATTTCCTTGGTTGGGATAAAACATCACTAAGGAACAAAAGTCATTCTAACTGGTCAAAGAGAGAGACTGAATAAGTCACCGCTTCCTCTCCACAGGAGCTCAAGTATACACAACTGACGGGCATGGTGTGACCGTGTGGCCCCTAGCTGACGGGCAGGTGAGGGCTACGTGTTGGTGTCTGCGCAGACTGGTGACCATCCATCTAGGTCAGGTCGGAGGGCAAGGAGGATGGTCTAGAGACAGCAGTGAAATCAGGAGTCCACGGGCTATGGGTGGCAGACCCATCCTGACCCATTCCCATGAGAAGAGCAGTTGCACACGCAGACGGGGGGGCCCTGCTAAGACAGCCAGAAACTACGCTCCCCTTCCCCACCTAAGAAGCTCAAATGTTGAGGAATTCTCAGGCTAAGACTGACCTCTGACCCTCAGGGCAAGTCCCTTCTTCTTTCCGAGCCTCAGTTTCCCTATGTCCCAAATGTAGTTCTCCATATTCACCTCTTGAGTTGTGATGAGAATAATGTATTATTTCTCAAGATGATGTTGTACAGCATGTCCAAATAAGACCAAAAATTAACGTCCATCACCCTTGTTCACATACTCTTGCTCTCACGCCCCACTCCAGGCCTGTCGGGCTCTCCTGGACCCACCCCCATCCTTCTCATACAGCAGCTCGGCATCTAGAATTCTCACCTTTTTGGCATGGACATATTTTCACAGCACTTTAAGTAAAATGCTAATGAAATTTTAAAAACACTTGTTACCCAAAAAATTATAAAGCAATATGTACTCTGAGCTCTGGAGTAGGGGCCACAGTGAATAATCAACATGCTGAAGTGAAGTTCTCAGGTGAAGACACTTCCCGTAGCCCGTGGCCCCCAGCCTGTAAAATGGGCCAGGCCTTTTTCTAGTTCAAGGTCTTAGAGTTGCACTATTATTTTGTTTTCCCTGTAACCCCAGGAAACAGCTCCATGGGGTGTTATTTTTATGAGCATCGAAAATGATCTGCAACATCTGCATCTGAGCTACCGACTACTGGACAGAGCTAAGAGCAAAACCGACCAATCACACCACTCACCCTTCTATCTCCTATAACGCAGCACTTCATTAGGTGGGTCATTGACTAAAAGATTTCAAACCGTTACTGTGTGTGTTTGCCAGGCTTACTGATGCAGTGGCATGTATGGAAACAGTGATCCCTGCCAATTCTGTTTTCTCATTTAATGGAATGAATACAATGTGGTATCACAGGTGCCGCAGGAGTGATCCCAAGTACTAAGGAAGTTCTCTCCAAGCCACCTTCTCAGCAGAGCCATTTCAGGGCTTTATTACAGAGGTGGTAAACAGTATCCTCAAAATAACTTACCTCATGAAGGAGCCTGTCACCAATTGCCTCGAGTGGGTTATTGCTCTTTTGATAAAATCACATTCATATCCTCTTAATAGAAAATTAGGCAGGAGACAAGTAGGGCTTTGTTGGAGAAAAAAATCCACTTGAAATTGATTTGACCCCCAATATGGCAACATACAACTGGTGGTATTAAAAGACAAATAAACAGATCTCAGTGTCCCTGGAGTACTTAGCACTGGTGTCATTCATTTAACACGTGTGAATTCCCTCTGTGGCAGGTTATCAGGCCTGAGGGCCAGGCCCAGGGCACGCAGTAAGCCCCTGCCATCCCAGAGCTCACGGCTCTAAGCAGCGAGGCAGACACTACATGATCACAGTCTTACCGGTGAGCTGCAGTGGTGACGAGACTCACGAAGGAGAAATGCAGGGGTCTGTGCCCAGGAGAGAGACCTGGGCTAGACTGGACCAGAGTTTGCTGATGACACAATCCTCAGGCTAGACCTGAAGGATGGTCCAGAGTTAACCAGAGGAAGTGGAGGGTGGAGGCGAGGAGGGCGCAGCAGTTTCCCAGACAGAGGAAAGGGTCTGGGTGAAGGCACCGAGGAAGGAAAGAAAATCTGAGAAACTGGAGGCAGCCCGTCTTTGGAGTAATGGGTGGTGTCTCTGGAAGACTGCAGGACATAGGCTGACCAGTCACCTGTCCACACTCCTTGTGACCTTGTTGAGCTCGCAGCGTGGACCAGTGCCTGGTCCTCTCTGGGCTACCATCTGTGCACCCTGCAGCCTCCTACCTGCCACTGGGTTTTGTATCCCATTTCTGAGTCTGTGGTGCCCACCAGATGGCGCTGTCTAGGACCAAAGACTGCCTCACACAGGCTCACCTCCTAGGGCTCAGCCACTTTTTATTCAGCAAATGTTTGGTGACCTGACATGAGCTGAACAACGTTTACAAGATGCACTA